ATTCATGATTGAGACTGAAACCAAAATTTAAATCCCTACGTAACTCTGACTGTAATTCTCTAAGTTTTTACCTCCTATCACTCCATTAGAACTGTCAGCTCAGAAACATTCAATATCAGAAAACTAAAATTTAAAAATACTGCACAAAAGACACTGGGTGTTTGGGCCATTTCACCCCTCCTGGAGGCAGGAAGAAGTCTCACCCAAGTCTCCATTTCCAGTACAAGCAATGAGTTGCATTTTCTTCCTCCAATAATGACTGGACCCAGGTGACAAAAATGGTAATGCAGCAACGCTGCTGTACAAAGGAATAACACTTTCCAGCATCCAGAGGCACCAGTAGGCATGTCTCCATTCCATAAGACTGGAAGAAAAAGTATTTGCCATACTAAGGAGCCTCTCAAAAAACTTGGACTATTTTTAGAAAGATCTTAGCAAACTGATAAACCTACTATCTTTCTTCTCCATTTTCCTTCTTTTTCAACCTCCTTTCCTCTCTCTTCACTCTTTTCTACTCCCCCCCCACACACACACACACCCCGTCTAATTCATTCACATATACACTAAGTCTATGAGTAAAATAAACCAGGATACCAAGGAATGCAAACCTCGCCTTTCAGTTTAAAATATGTAAAAGATACCTGACATCACTAATTCTACAAAAGTCTTCAGTAAACAGCAAAGGCATCCTCCACTTTGCCCCTCAAATTTGTGTACAAAACCACAAAATCCACACAGCTGATTTCCCAGCCAACATCAGAGGACAAGTAAATAATGATATACAATTCTACACAAGATTATCTCTGCAATACTGTAAACTGAGTTCCAATTCTTGACTAATGTTCTATTCCCTTTACCTTGTCTACCTAACCGCATTCAAAGTCGTATTTCTGTTAGCTTCTAGAGCCAACAATGTTCAGATGTGGCTAGGTTTGGACACTGATACAAGAGCTATCTTCCATTCAGCACTAAATTTTGAGGGTTCAATGGCAAACCTACATAAAATGTAAGGCTGCCATGAAAGGAAGAGAAAGGAGTTCTTAGGAGTCTACAAAGCGACAGGTGATCAGAAACTATCTTGTACTGCTTGCCAGTGAAATCATTGTGGGTGATCTTAGCTCCCCAACTAGACTGTGAACTCTCTGAGGGCAGAATTTACGTCTTGAACTTATTTGGAATCTCCATGGTCCCTGCCACACAGCTGAGCACATAGTAGATACTCCAACAATGCTTACTGACTTGATCTAATGCCATGGTGACAAATTTCAAAGTGTGATAGAGTACAGCTAGCATACAACAGGTCTGAGTGGACTCGTCTATAATCCCTTTGAGAGTAAGCCCTGTAACTGGATCTACAGCTCATAAAGGGAATGGGTTTGACACAGGTAATCCAACAGAGGAACCTACTAGGTAGTGCCCTTTTGTCCCAACCTGGAGAGTAAGAATGTAACATGTGCTCAGGAATAGGATGTTATTCTGAATTGAAATTACCTGTTTACTTGTCTTTCTGTAAGCTCCCTGGGGTCAAGAAACAAGTGTTTTATTATTTTTGATCCTCAGGAAATAGTACATTATCTGGCACATTCTAAATGTATAATAACTGGTAATGGGATAAATTAATGAACAAATGAAAGAATTATTTAATGAAATAATATAAAGAACAATGTAAGTAACATAATATGATTTAATAGAGAAATTTCTATAGAATCTTATATTTGCCACATCATAGCACTTATCATTCTGTGCTATAATTGCTTAATAAATGTTGCTTTCTTGAATGGATTAATTAATTAGGGAAATATAAAGATAATGTAAGAAATATATCAAGATGTTATTATCCTAGCAATGGAGAATATCCCATTGCACCTTATATTAGCATTTATTACTCTATATTGCAAATCACCTATTTACTTGATTGTCTCTCATGTTAGAATGTGCATTTCTTGTCTTTTTCATCTCTCTAATGCCAAAGCCTAGAGCAGTGCCTTACAAAGAGTAGGCTCAACAAATATCAGTTGAATGAATGAATCAATCATCCCTGCTCTTCTATAGATTTCATTGAACCTAAGTATTCCACCAAGTCCAGTGGCCTTTGGTATAAAAGAAAATGAGAAGTGCCATTTTCCCTATGCAGGGCATTGTGACTGATTCAAGTTAAATGGCCTGGTATATATTTGGCTGTAAGTGGGCCTCTCTCCTTTCTGAATGGGTTTGCCAGTTGAATTCTCCAGGAGGGACTAAATATTAGAAATACACACAGCCTCACTATGTCTAGTACACACTGTCTTGGCCCTGACCAGCTGTACACACCAAAACTGTGTAATTTTGTTAAACAAGGAAAAGCATCTGGCTTTGTGAGTCAGAGACAGGATCAGAACTGAGATTTTAAATGGCTTTTCTAAATAATTGAAGCAATATTTTGTTTCATTCAGCCCATGGAAGAATCCCAGAAATGATACTAAGTCTTAGGTAAACCAAGCAGATGTAGTCATATGTTTTCTGTTCTCTCCATCTATTTCATAGACATCAGAACTCACATTTATCTAGTACCTTGGAATGATTGCTTAAGTGATCACCAAGTCCTCCGGATTCAACTCTTTTGTCCATCTCCACAAGTAACAGTGCTGTTACTTGTGAACAACTGAACCCACAACTTTGGCATCTTTCACCTCTACTGTTTAAATGATCAATATGAATAGTATGGCCATAACACTTTGTAGGACTTACCTGTATAGAAGCAGCCTAAATTCCTCTTTGGTTACAAGTGCCTAGGGAGACACAATCAGTAGTGCAAGCCATTGTAACACTGATTCTCCAACTGTCTGATGAAGAGGTCTACTCTTCTGGGGGCATCAATGAGTTGGACCTTCTACACTACACAAGTCATCTTGGAAAAACTTTGCATGACAGGTATGCCCGTTTTGTAGATAAAGAAAGTCTTAGGTTCCACAGCAAGCAGTGATCCCTGGCTTCAAAATCATGATCAATCTGATTCCCCTACACACCACTACCTCTCACTTTCTATTGCTGAGCTATTGGTGATCCACAAGTAGTCTTCCAAGTAGTCTACGGTCTAGGCCTTAGTAGTATTCACTAACATTGATAATTATAACTAAGTTTACCTAGCACAATATTGGACTTTCGAAAAAAATCCTTATTTATAGAGTTATAAATAGAAAATATTGGTGCTTTTGTTGCTGGCAGAATACCATCAGTTACTCATCAAAAGTACTGGTGTTTGGCCCCATTAATTCTGATGAGAATTATTGTTCAGGAACTAGAAGAAGCAATCAATGTAAGTGGTCCTAAGACCCCTTATCCTACAAAATTGACACAAATACTATGAGGCCATTTTATGTATGCATCATAGCCTGGGTATGTCAGGTTGAATTACTTTTAAGGCAGGAAGGTGTCACTGAAATCACATTTGCCAGGGAGTATGGAGTCCTTCAGTCTGGTCCTCCCACTCTTGATGACCAGCTTTGTGAGTCTGAGTAAGTCTCTTAGCATCTCTGGACCTCTGTTTCATCATCTACTGAAGGGCAACCTATCAAGATACCTGATTGTGAGGATCAAACAAAACAATGTTTGGGAAGGTGCTTTGAAAGATGTGAAAGAGATCTCCAAGTGTGCAGTATTCTTTTCACTGGTAGCTTGGAAGAGGACATATGCCTTCCAGGGCATCAAATTTCTAACCAAAGAGGGACTTAAGCAATTCATGGAAAAATGAAATCAACTTAAGAAATGTTATTTATAGCCTTCCACCCAGCTACCCACCAGCCATCATCCATATACCACTCTACTGCCCTGAAATATTTCAATAGCCAGCAAACATCTGACCACATCACATTTTAAAAAATATTTCTACTTAAGCCCAGCGCGGTGGTAATCCCAGCACTTTGGGAGGCCAAGGCAGGCCGATCACCTGTGGTCAGGAGTTTGAGACCAGCCTCACCAACACGGAGAAACCCTGTCTCTACTAAAAATACAAAATTAGCCGGGCGTGATGGCACATGCCTGTAATCCCAGCTACTCGGGAGGCTGGGGCAGAAGAATTGCTTGAAGCCGGGAGGCAGAGGTTGCGGTGAGCCAACATTGCACCATTGCACTCTAGCCTGGGCAACGAGAGAAACTCTATCTCATAAAAAAAAAAAAATCTACTTAAAATCATTCATTCCTAGTGAAGAGAAACAGAGCTAACTCGAATGCATAGATAATTCTTATTCTTTTTTTTTTTTCGTTGTTAGAGACAAGGTCTCACTATATTGCCCAGGCTGGCAAGCCGATCTGGAATTCCGGGCTCAAGGGATTCTCCTGCCTCGGCCTCCCAAAGTACTGGGATTACAGGTGAGAGCCACTGCAACCAGTCAACTAATTCTTAAATTTTCAGCAATAATGACAGTTTCAATCTTCTCAACCATCAAATGTTACCACTAGAACTGCTAAGAAATGGCAAAGTGGCTTTTTAATTTTTTGCTTTGCCTCCTTTTAACCAGTCCATCCATATCTCACCAAAATGCTAGAGAACAGTGATGTGACGAAAGAAAAAGCAAATGGGGGCTTTAGGAGGCTGAATCACTCTCACACTGGAAAACTGGTCCCAGGGCATTAGAGGGTTTCATCCATTTTCAACACTACTTGATGACTCTTTCTAAGCCACTTTACTGGCATACTGGTACTGCTGGCTGTCAAGTGTGCTATATTTGCAACAGGTGGAGCAAACTTGAGTTATGCCAGGATATCACACAGTGATTTCAAGGGTTCAGACTCTTTGAGTTGCCAATTCCAACACCCACACCTACACAAAGGCTCAGTATGTTGGGTTACCATTTGCTCCAAGAAGCACTGGTAGCAAACCCTTAGTATGAAAATAGGCATAAGCAGAAAAATTCCCCCCACCCCTGCCAGAGGATGTGCCAGCACAGCAGCTTATGGTATCCAGCAAGCAGCTAAAGAAGGAGGTCTGGGAGAACCTCACAGAGCCACTTAGCTGCACTCACCTCAGGCAGAGGCACACCGTTGATAATCAGGTCAGGCTGCTGGGGCCCCTGGCTGTTGAAAGAGTGATGGTAGATGTGGTTAGCACTGGTGTTGCGGGTATTCTGGTTCTCCACATTCAGGAAAGTGCTCTCAGAGCGGCGGCAGCCCAGAGGCAGCGTCTGCTGGTGGTAGTCAAAATAGTTGAGGGACGAGGTCAGGGAAGAGCAACTGACAACGTTCATCTTGTCTGTCTCCTCCACATCCCGGGGTACCAGGCGGATGTCATTCTTACTGATTTTTTTCTTCTTGCTTGATTTCTTTTGATGCCCATAGGAGTACTCAGCAATTCTATGTGACAGAAAAGGCAGCATGAATCACTAACACCCTCCCAAACCATGCACTGATTAATAAACATTAAGCACCCCAGAGGGTTGCACCCCATTTCTGCTCCAGCTCCTTATTCTGGCGCATTACATCATCGGGTTTCTCCCTGTGCTTTTTACATGGGAAAACAAGCTGAGGGCCATAAACTTTTCATATTAAACATAGTAACCTCCCACCAATCCCCCTAAAAAAGTTTCTATACTTTGGATTTGGAATTTTTCATTGTGAGTGGCCTGTGAGCACGGGTGTGGGGACAGGGAAAGTTGAGCCTATGGGAGAGAAAGCATGAAAATGCTCAAATCTGGAGCTTCCCTGGAACCAAAAGGAACTCCTAGGTGAAATACAAAGCAAGTCACCAAAGAGGAGATAGAGGAAGATAAAAAATACCCGCCTCCCCCCCTCTCCGCTTGCCAGTTCCTCCAGGCATTTGCCATGTGGCACACGCCCTCAGTCGGCTTCCTCTATGACTCACTTGATCAGTTTTGGACTGGGGTAGGAGATCAGACCCCATTCTTTCACGTCTCCTCCACACCCTCCTCCCTGCCCTAGCCCAGTTCCCTTTTACTCTCCCCCCGACCCCCTCCTCTCCTAGAAAAATCTAATAGCCAAACCCATTTAAATGAGGGGAAATGCCTTTTTACCTCTTTCCCCTTAGGCTCACTTTCTCCTCTGTCTTTTTGTCTTGCTCCTCGCTAATGGGAGAAACTGAGATGCAATGCAGACACTTGCTGTTTTGTCCTTTTATAAAACAGCCGAGGAGACAAGTGATGGTTAAACAATTACTGCAAAGGAATTTAAAGGTTAGTGCATTCAGCATCCTTCTCCATTCAGGTGTACCTACAAGCAGCTGTGCTGCAACTGGAACATAAAGAGCTCAATTTAATTAACACTGACACAGACCCAGCAACGTGCACCAAAGACACCAAGCATTAAGAGACTTATCAAAAGAAATACATTTAAATGTAGCCAGATTCTCAAAGTCATTTGTTACTTTGCACATAATGATGCAGTTTATTTTTTGGAAATTCGATTTCTGGGTAATAATCAGCAAAACAATAGGGTTAATAAATAATACGGGTTGATCTTTACAAGGGAAAGACTGTGCCTTATTTTCACTCGACAAAGCTAATTGTCTGAATACAAAAAGGGAGCCCAATTCAAGCAGCAATTGCAGATCATCTCGCAAGTCTCATAAATGAATGCATTTCAGGAAGAGGTTCTGCAGAGGCTTAGCAAAAGAAACCTCTGCCTAATCACATGGAAAGACACACTCCTGAACTTTAGGTCTCTAAAAAGTCTGAGCAGATAGGGAGACTGCACATCTACAGAGGCAAAATCTTGCTCTGTCCCCAGGATCTACCTAGAGCTAAGCAATTGAGTTCCCCTCACCCCTTCACTCTGTGCTCAGGCAGATTTGCAGTGATGGCAAACTGGTACTACTGGGGTTTGGGAGCAGATAAAATCCCCAAAACCCTAGTACTAAGGTTGATTTTCTATTCTCATCTGTTTACAGAATCAATGGGAAATTTTAATCATTTTGTTTACCCAAGATGAGTAAGTTTGGCAATGCCCCATCAAATTATTCAGCTGAAGCATTCATTGTGCAGCCCTTTCTGTATTGACCAATTATTTAATTATACTGTACTTCATTAATCCCAAACCATCACAGGAAACAGAGTGCTTCACAAAATACACATTTGGGTGAAGTTGGAGAGCACTGAGATTTACTCTTTTTTTTTCAATATTTGGATGCTCTCCTCCTGTTTAATCATCTCCTTGGCAAGTTCTCAGAAAGGGCTCTCACTTCTACTCATACATCACCAAGAGGTGGCAAAGCCTTCAAGATCTTTATTTCAAGCTAATTTCTTTTTCATCAAGGAAAGCATCTTATGCATTTACTTCTATGCTGAGAAAATGGCTTTAAAAGAGTCCTCTCCATAATTATCTCCATATAAATAAAATTTTATTGACCCCACATTTTTCTCCTATAAAAATCGCCACTAGCAGTCACAGGTTTGAAAGGTAAGAGCAATATTAATTTCCATTTCTCCCATCTGAAATGACTTGGTGCTGAAGGAAAGAAAAGTCATGGCCATTTCACTAGTAACAGGATTAAAGCATTTATGAGGCATTGCAGCTGCTCTTTTATGGCACCTGATTGATATTCATGTGTGGTTAGCATTTGTCTACTAACTTGTGTAACGCAGAGAATAGTAAAAGGGAAACAATAATTGCATGGCTGTTACATATTCAGGGGGCTCTGATTCACAGAAGTGTGCATTTCAGACGGTGTCAAATACAAACTGAACCAGAGGAACATATTTTGACTGATTAACATGCAGACACAAATGGCACAAAAAGACACACTGATATGTAGGTGTGTGGAAAGCACACACACACCTTGGTTGTAAATAGCAGCATCATTCATTTTCAGCAAACTAAAGAAACAACTTTTTTCAACTGTTTCGATGAGACACTGCTGGAAAAAAAAATGTCATGTATTATTCTAAATTGGATTCTAGGATTTTAGAAATGCTTAGACTTATGTGCTCTATCCAAATGTAAGAAAGGGGTTCAGTAAGACCTTCTAATGTGCTTATCAGGAAATCTTTTTAAAAATACTGTGCTTCCACATTTCTTTTCTCCCTTCTCCTCCCCCTTCTAACCCTCTCTCCCCCCTCACATACACACACACACACAGACACACACACACACACACACACATATCCTGCACATACTTCAAGAGAAACTGTAACACAATAGCCCACAGTGACATCCACTGGTAGCAACCAGATCTTAATGCCACAACACAGCCTCACATTAGAGGAAAGCATCATCAACTCTAGAAGATTGCTATTTTTACTGAAACATCTGGATGCAAAGTCTTGTTCCTCATTGGGATGTTTGGTCTCCACACTACCAACCAACCAGATATTTGAAAACATACAGATGCCTGACAGAATTTCACTTTATATAGCCAGATGTTTGGGGACTAGATAAAAAACAAGCCAAGAATAAACTAAAAACCACTAATCACCTGCATCTCCACACACTCCTGTTCTCTCCTCCCCCTAATCTCCCTTTCCCATTTTACACTCCCACTCCCAGTCTCTCTCCAGAGTTCGTCACTGCAACAAGACAGGGTAGCTGCCAACACTCCCTCTCCTTTCATTCAGTACCTGTCCCAAAAACACTGTGCCCCAGACACCAAGTTGTGGTAGTTGGCGGTTTTCCTAAAAACATGAACAATCTCTCTCTCCCTCTCTCTCTCTCTCTCTCTCTCTCTGTTTTTCCTGCCATAACTTCATGGAGACAGCTATGCAAATTTTAAAATGGTAATTGCTTTTCTGCTCATCATCATTATGTGACAGAATCCATTGAAACACTAAATGATTGTCTTCCAGCAAATTGTCAGATCAAAAGAATTGATCAACTTGGACTGCCACAAACTTTTCACCCTACAAAAAGAAGCACTGCAAGTATGCTGCATGCATTTAAGTAGGAAACAAAAGCACCAGGATTTTCACACAGAGACACAGATCAACACACCTTATTCATCCAAGACAAAGAAAGAAAACTTGGCTTTACCTGCAGTTGTAGGTCCGGATCTCTTTGTTGTCTCGCTTGCACTTGATTGCCACGAAGATCATAGTTACAAAGAGGATGCCCGCAATGGAGCCCAGGGCAATAATGAAAATCAAGGACAAGTTCACAGAGCCCATTGACTCTTGGGCATCGAGAGCAGGGGACAAGTATATTAGGACGAGAGCAGAGGCAGAGAGAGATGTCTTGCCGTGGTCGTGAGCCACCACGATAAGCTCATAGGAGGACTTGGAGCTCTCCCCGAAGGTGCGGGTGGTTCTGACTTCGCCGTTGACCTGGTCTATTTCAAAGAAGCCGCGGTCGCCCTCGGTCATGTCGTAGGTGACTCGGCCATTTTCGCCCTCATCGTAGTCTTCTGCCTTGACAACAGTCACCAGGTAGCCTATGCCAGAGTTGCGGGGTATGTAGACTTCGGCAGTGCCGTTAATCAGAGGTGGGGCTGTGATGACCGGGGTGTTGTCGTTGACGTCGAGGATGATGACCCTCACCGTAGCGTTGCTTTGCAGTGAGGGAAGGCCGCCGTCCTTGGCCAGCACCTTGAATTCGAACGCCTTGGTCTGCTCGTGGTTAAAGGATCGCAGCGCGTAGATGTCGCCTGAGTTTGGGTTGATGGAGACATAGGTGAAGACAGGCATGTCCCGCACCTGCGACGGCACGATCTGGTAGGAGACACTGCCGTTGAGACCCAGGTCGGGGTCGCGAGCAGACACAGAGAGCAGATAGGCGCCAGGCGTGTTGTTCTCCTGCACAATGACCTGGTAGTAGGGCTTGGAAAAGTGCGGGTGGTTGTCATTTTCGTCAGTGATGAGCACGGTAAAGGACTTGGCACTCTGCAGCATGGGCACGCCGCCGTCGCGTGCCTGAATTGTGAGGTTGTATTGGTCGTGCTGCTCGCGGTCCAGCCGTCCGTCCACCAGAATAGTGGAGAAGCTCTCGTATTCCTGCAGTCGAAAGGGCACATTGCCCAGCAAACGGCACTGCACACGTCCATTGAGGCCTGAGTCGCGATCAGACACCCGCACCAAGGCGATCACGTAGCCCGGGGGGGCGCTCTCGCTGACCTCCACAAGCTCACTGTTGACTGACAGCAGGTTGATGACCGGCGGATTGTCATTGGTGTCCAGCACGCTGACGGTGACCTTGCAGTGTGCCGGGATGGAATTGGGCCCCAAGTCCTTAGCCTGCACGTCCAGCTCGTACACGTGCCCCTCTTCGTAGTCTAAAGCGCCAGTGACAGTGACCAGGCCACTGTGCGGGTCGATCTGAAAGAGCTCACGCGTGCGGTCGTTGACGTAGCCATAGAAGGAGTAGACCACCTGGCCGTTGGTGCCCTCGTCTGGATCGCTGGCGTTGAGGCGGATGACGGGTGTGTTGGGAGGCGAGTTTTCTGGCACGCTCACCGAGTAGGTGGACTCGCTAAACACCGGGTTGTTGTCATTGGAGTCGGTCACCTTGATACTAAGGCCAACGGTGCCCAGGCGCGGCGGGTCGCCACCGTCTAGCGCAGTGATTCGGAAGCTGTAGTGCGACTGCGTCTCGCGGTCCAGGCTCTTTTCCACCACGAGTTCGGCGAAGCGCGAGCCGTCGCCGCGCGTCTTGATCTCCAGACCGAACAGCTCGTTGGGCGTAAGCTCGTAAGTCTGCACGCCAAAGCTTCCTGAGTCTGGATCGTAAGCGCTGTCCAGCGGGATGCGCGTGCCAGGGCTGGCTGCCTCCGAGATCTCCAGTTCCATCTGTGCTGCCGGAAAACTGGGCGCATTGTCGTTCAGGTCTTTGATCTCCACCTTTATCACGCAGATTTCCATTGAGCTGGACATGACCTCGAGCGAGATGATGCACTTGGGGCTCTGGCGGCACAGCAGGTCACGGTCAATCTTCTGCTTGGTGACCAGCAGGCCAGAGCTGGGATTGATGTCCACTAGGTGTGGAGCCGAGTTGGACACCACGCGAAAGGCCGAAGCCTGCCGGGGGTCCAGCGCGAAGCCCGCCTCCCGCGCGTCCTTGGCCACGTTGGCAATCACCGTCCCGGCGCGCTGCTCCTCTTCTACTGAGTACTTGAGGTTAATGAGGGCGGCTGCCTGCGTCCATAGTACGGCCAGCAGCAGCAGCACCGGCAGCAGGAGCGACTCCATGGCTGCGCGGGGCTCTGCCTGGCCTCGCCTCTCCACACCCCTCCGAGACCGACGCCGTCGGCGCTCCAGCTTCCCGCCGGCTCGGGCCGCCTGTTGCGCGCGCCCCGTGGCCCCGGAGGCCGCGGGAGGAGTCCCGCCCAGGGCGGCCCGGCGGCGCGCGGGGGACACCCGCGGCGGCTCCAATGCTGAGGTTGAGGCGGCCGCGGCGGGGGCTCGCGGGGGCCCCGGGGGCTCCGAGGGGCCAAGGGAGCGCCGCGCGGCCCCGAGCCCCCTCCCTCCAGCCCGGCTACTCAGTTTTCCCCCTTCAAAGTTAGCCGGGCGCGACTGTCCGCAGCCGCCCAGGGCTGCGGGTCGGGCAGCGTCTGCGCGGCCTGGAGGACGCGCCGCTGAGTCCGGGTAGTACTTGAGGCGAAGGCAAAGAGGGCGGAGGAGGCGCAGCCCTTCAGGCACTGCCCGGCCCGCCGCGGCGCACCGGCACTGAGGCTGGAGAACTCGCTGTCTGTGCACCTGGCATGCGCAAAGACCTCCCCCCAGCGCTCCCGGTTCACTGCGGAGAGAGTACCCGCTTGGAATGCGCCCTCCGGGGTCTGAGGGGGCCACACTGGCCTCTTCAAGGCCTGTTCGGGAGAAAGGGGGTGTCACAGGCGGGAGTCAGTTACTGGCAAGCGCCGCGGGCACCCGGCTATAGGGTTGAGCCGGATGGCGGTCCCGGGGCCAGCAGAGGAAGGGGGAGGGGAGAGAGGCTGCCAGGGCTTGAGCGCGCTCCCTCGCGCTAAGGCTGGCTTCGGAGGGCTTGGGGGCGCGTCTGTCCAGGATCCGAGGTGGGAGCGGAGTTCCCCCCACAGAGCAGTTGAGGGTCTGCGGGCGTTTGCGTCTAGGAAATCAAAGTTAACAACGCAGCCCGACCCTCCACGTCAAGTTTGTGGAAACGGGGAGGTGGCAATTTGTCCAAGAAAATCAAAGCCCCGGTCTTTCTAATGGTCCGGGGTGGCGGGGAATGGGGAAGAGGGAAGGGGAGGCAACAACAGTACCGGCCAGGAGAGGCGGGGCCGCCGCCGTGGGTACCGGGTGCTTCTCCTCTCTCCGTTTGGGCTGGGATGTCGCTCCAAGGGCCGCCGCCGCCGCCGCCGCCGCCGCCGCCGCGGGAGGAAGCCCTCCTAGCTCAGTTGCATGTCGCTCGGATCCGCCTCAGCAGCTGCCACAGTCGACGATTTTGTCGCCGCCAAAGTTTACTTGCAGGAGAGTCTCGATTTCATCTTCCCGGAGAGGCGCTGACCGCGCTGCCTTGGGCTCCCTCCCTCCCGGGCGCTCGCGCACTCGGGAGGTCTGTCTCGCTTTCTCTGTCTGTCTCGGGCTGTGTGTGAATGTGTGAGAGAGAGAAGAAGAGTGTGTGGTGTGGGGAGTGTGAGTGTGGAGTATGAGCAAGCAGGAGGCAATGGGTTTGGGGTAGGAGGTTTAGGATTTCGGATGAATCCGCTCAGCCGGAATGCCGCGGAGCGCAACGCGCCAAGGGCCAGCACCGGGCTAGGGACGCGGGTGCCAGTGCCTCCCGGGCAAGCCGGGCATGGTGCACGGGAGCTGTGCTGCCGTCTGTGCCCGCTCGTCCGTCTCCGCGCTGCGCCAGCCGCCGCCGCTACTGCTGCTGCTGCTCTTCCCGATGCCGCAAACTACTGGCCGCGGAGTCTGGAGAAAGCCGGAGAGAGCTCGAGCTGCGGAGCCGGGCTACGCCAGGCGCTGGCCAATCAGCGCGCCGCCCAGCGGGCTCCAGTCTTGGGGCGGGGCCAAGGGGAGGGGGGGTGGCGGGGGGTGGGGCCAAACGGAAACTTACACACCGGCAGGACCAAGTGGTACCCCGGCCCGTAGAGCCCTGGCGGGATTCAAGGGAGGACGGACAGACAGGCCAGGCGGGAGCAATAGGGCAGGAATGAGCAGGGAGGCGATGTGCTGGGGCTGCGGCTGAGCCTCGCCGGGAACTGTGCGCTTCTCATGTTTGCAGAGATTTCAGGAAAGATGAGGATGTTATGATTCTCTTGTCGTGTTTAACTCCCTCACATATCTTCATATCTTGAATATAATATCTATATTGTAATCATATATATATATAAATATATATCTCCCTCTCTTTCTTCTTGTCTCTTCACCCTAAAAATTTGTCTGTTTTTGTTTGCCTCTCTTCTCATTCTCCGGTAGTGGAAGGAAGAAACGGAAGGAGAAAGCGCCCCTGAGGTGGTCATTCATCCAGCTTTTGGCCGGTGCATCTTCACATCAGGCGACAGCCACGGCCGCCATCCCCCCCGGACCGTCACTCCCATCCTTCCACCCCGGGCAGACGCCACACTACTCTCTGCCCGCTGCACTCCCAGCAGGGCCCCCTGGTTCGGTTCGCTCTTGTCTGTTGCTTGTTAATCAAATGGGATATGTGGCACAGAGAATGAGCTGCGGAGGGGGCTGGACACATTTCATTGCCCCTCACCCCACCCTGTTGGAGAATTTAGCTCCCTATAAATAAACTCTACGTTTGAGAAGAGCCGGTGGAGCGGACGCCGCCGCGCCGCGCCGCGCCAAGCCAGCAGAGCTCAAAGCCGGGCAGGAGCTGTGGGGCGGGCGCGCCATACGTGTCCGCTTAGGTCGCCGACAGCTGGGAGCCGGCGCCGATGTGCAGGGCGCCCCAGCCTTCCCGCGGGGTCTCGGTCCCAGTGGGCTGCCAGCTCCACTTGGGCGGCGGTGGTGGCTGCGGCATGTGCCAGTACTGGGAAGCGGGAGGCCGGCATGGCCAGGGCTGACATCAAGCTCATCCTGCCTTGTGCACTGAAGGCTCCCTGGGGGCAGCGGGGCATTCCTCCTCACTCGGGCTCTGAGGCTTTTAATTAAGGTCGCCGGCGGAGAAGAATCAAAAACATGCCCGTTAAACAAGTTTGTTTGTTTGTTTGTTTGTTTTTCCTCGTAGAAGGTGGGGAAGCTGCTTCTGAATTCACAATTCTTGGAAGAGTAAAAATGTCTTCTGAGTGAGTCGTCTCGGGTATTTGGGAGTGGGATAAGCAAACTCATAATTAGCCCAGCGACATTGGCTCGAGCCTGTGGACTTAACATGAGAGTCACTTTTGCCCTCTAAAAAGCGTTAAACAAGAAAAGGAAACCGGCATTTGGACACATAATGGGTTTTCTCAAAACTGCCATATTTTAGTGGAGAGCAACCCAGCTGCTTTTTAAAATATTTTTCCTTCCAAGAAGAGCTACTTTAGCAGCCTTTACCTTGGCGGTGGGAGAGGGGAAAGGCAGCTTCCTCCTACAGAAAGAAAGTATTTCGCGAGTGAGGTTGCGATCCCCTGAACGTGCAGCCGAGGCCAAAGGGAGAGCATAGGGAGCCTGATCCGCTTTCCGCGTGGGGGTCGTTTCACTGTTTCACGTTAGGATGTGATTCGGCCCAGAAAAACAGGGAGAAAACCGATGCTTCTGCAAGGAGTATCATTTAATTTTGGTCATTTAGAGCTGCGGGTGGACACCAGAATGGTGGCTCAAGGGAGCCCGGTGGCCCTCCCGGTTTTCTCCAGACACCGTTGGAGAAATGGGCAAGTAGTAGAGAATGACAACATGGCAGGCAGCGGTGGGCGCACCTCGCGGGCTCCGCGAAAGGAAGGGTTCCATTTGATTTATTACAGTTATTTACCTTTGATGTCAGAGCATGGGAATGAAGTGCATCTTGGTCTAATTAAAAAGGCCTAAAAAGGCATTTGAAATGGGTTTGCTATCTGCCGGGATGTGAATTCGGCGTTTGGCAGCTTTCTAAAATATTGCTTGGACTATTTAAACAGAACAATTAGCAGCATGCTAAAATGTTTGCATGCTATGCTTAGAAGCTTTTAGCTGTAAACTTTAAGGCGATCTGTTCCCCCTTTAAGTTAAAAAAGGATGATGCTGCTTCCTTGTGGCGAAGGCTGTCAGGAACCCACTGATCAATAAAAGTAAACTGGCGCCTCCACGGCTTGATTGAGCGGGAGCAGAGTCTGAGAAGTAGTCTCGGCCATTAACAATCCCCCAGGTAACGAGAAATGGAAGAATTACTCAGGTAAAATGATTAACATTGTCGTAGGATCCGAAAAGATGCACACAACAAGATAAGAAGACTGCAGACCTCTTACCTTAGGGAGTGCTAATAGAATGTCTATATTCTGCTGTCTTTTAAAGATAAATAGGAGAATTCAATTCATGTACAATGTCATTACCTTCGTAATTGCAATCACATTGTAAAGACATGTTCTGCATTTGCAAAGACAAACGCTCTTTGCTAAGGCGATGCCACCATGTTCCCAGGTTCCTGCTCGCTGTTCACACTCTAGGCACCCCTCTTTTCCAAGGAGAGCATCCAAGTACTTCCAGCTACCAAACCACTTTTGCACAAGCCAGGTGCTGAGGGAGGCAGGGGCGTGTGCCTATGCTTTCCTTCTTTCCTATTATCTCCTCCCCACCCCTAAGCTCAAAGTGACAGTTACACAGCCTTCCCCACCCCCACACACAAGATAGCTCTTCCATCCCTCAGTCTATTTCTACAGATAATCCTAACAACAGCCTTTGCCCTCAGAATTTCTTTTTTTCTAATAGGCACACTTGATCATTACACTCCAACAATGCCATTGACTAAATGAGTAGCCCAAAACACTTTCATGATCAGGAATTTATTAACTAACTGAATAAAATCGTTCTGCATGTAGATAACAAAAACAAGAAAGTTCTCTCCGTTTTAGCTTCCCTTTATTTCAATCCTGAAGGGAGCCACGCCTCCTCAGCCTCTTTAGAGACACAAGAGGGACATCTAGTGACCATCCTCAGTATTTTTTATCCAACAGCTACTAAGAAATACTAACTATGGTGCTATGCCGCCTACAGCTGCTCTCCAGGCCAAAGCAGCTCCACAGAGGCCAGCATCAAAATTGGTAAAGACATTTTTTTTTTTTTGTCTTTAAAATGTCATCCATGCCACTAAAATCATGCTGAAAGGCAATAAAAGAAGACCAAAATGGGAGAAATCTTAAACCAGTATGTGAAGCTAATTCTTGTTCTCCTAAGATTGATAAGGGTAGGGTAAAAGGTTTTGTTCAGAAAAGTAAAAAGTAATGGTAGG